AGGGGAGCCTGGCCGCCGGCGATGGAGGTCGTGGTGGCCCAGTCGCAGCTCGGGAGGAGGGGGAGGGGGGAGGGGACATGCTTGGGAAGGCGCTTGCGCGAGGAAGAAGAAGTACAGCAGAAAAAAAATGTTCGCTTGAGGCCCACCTAGCGTGCGTGGAAAAAGAGCGAGCGAGCGAGGGGAACCGGCCGAGCGTTCGGCCGGTGCGCCGATTCCAAACGATTACCATAGAGAAAGCACTACATTATGCTACATTGTGGAATGGAGGGAGTATATCTGAAAGGAACCGCGTTCTCGAGGCTTTCATACCGTTTTTGGCGAAAAAGATTTGCTATACTCCCTCCGTTTCAAAATATAGTGCGACCGCGCTTCGTGAGGTCCAACTTTGACCATAAATTTAACCAACGAGAGCAACTGCGGCGGGAGAAAAAATTATATAATCGAAAACTTCTTTTGAATATGATATAATTTTTGCTCCCGTCGCAATCGGTTTTCGTAGTTAAATTTACGGTCAATCGGTTTTCGTAGTTAAATTTACGGTTAAAGTTGAAGCACGGAGATAGAGAAAGCACTACATTATGCTACATTGTGGAATGGAGGGAGTATATCTGAAAGGAACCGCGTCCTTGAAACGAGAGTATTGACAAACATGTCGAAAATATTCTCCGATGCTCCCGCTGTGAGCAATCATTGACGCGCACCACGACGGCACTCGTGCTCGTGGCCATCCTAATAAGGGAATCTATTCTTAACCCGCTCCCAAATTTAAAATTCCAAATTTCTCGCTCGCCTCATTCATAATCCCGGCAGGAGGAGAATCTCTCGCGGCCACGAAAGCACCGGAGGCAGCCACCGCCTCTGCCCCGCTCCCCCCGACGCCCGCCCATGGCTCCGGCTCCGGCTCCGGCGTCCAGCGGCCGCATCCGGCCGTGGCTGGTGGTTGGCGACCTGGTCCTGGCGGTGCTGTGGGTGTGCGCGGGCGCGCTGGTGAAGCTGGCCGTGTACAACGTGCTCGGACTTGGGGGCCGCCCGGAGGGGGAAGCCGCCAAGGTCTCGCTCTCTGTCGTCTACATGTTCCTCTTCGCCTGGCTTGAATCCGCCACCGGCGGCGCCTCCTACAACCCGCTCACCGCCATCTCCGGCGCCCTGGCCTCCCGCGGTGGCATCGCCCTCTACCTCTTCACCGTCTTCGTACGGGTCCCTGCGCAGGTGATTAGTCGCTCTGTCCCGTCCTTTTATCTATATATATATTAATATACTTGAGACTTGAGACTTGAGAGGAACATTTACCTATTCTTTTCAAGAGAAGAGCCATCACAATCTCACCAGTACCTATTTGAGGGCCATATGATCTTATAATATACTAGTATCTCATAACCAATCCATGAGGTATTTTCGTTGCGACTCTATGCTACCATCAACACACATTTGTTCGATATATTGGACAGCTTTGTTACAACGGGCAGGCAGCTATAGCAAGTGGTGTCAAAATGCCAGAATCTGAACATGACACCAGTATTTGACCACATTATGGATGCCCTAAGCTAATACGTAGTACTATAATTTTTTGCTTTTATGCTATGGGCACACGTGGATACATATAATGTTAAAGAACAGAAAGGCTTTGTAGGTAATTGTGTGGGCATGTGGCATAATGCAGTACTATTACACTGTGGTCACTTTTGTCACATCAGATGTGATATAGATTGATAGCGTAACATAACATCTGTGTTGGCATTGGCAAGTAGATGATTTTCTAGAGATTGGACAAGAGACAGCATATATCATGTGTTACGAAACTTTCTGTTTTGTTCAAATGATGAAATCGGATGGGAGGGGAGAGATGAACCATCAGATCTATTTAATTCATGTTGAACAATAGATGTTTCATACTCTCTCTGTTGCAAGAAAGATGTTCCATACTTTTTTTTTGATCCGCAAACCGTAGAACAATAGTTCTAGGTATATTTTCATATATTATCAATAGTATGTTACAAGGGGAAAGGAAAAAATAGAAAGGCCTGAGAGGCCAAAACAGAGTTAGGGGCTAGCCAATGCCTGCTCTTGGGGAAAAAACATGATTTACAAGTTGCTATCTCCCCCGTCCCCTCCCCCGTGCGGCGGCGCCGCCCCCCACCGGGGAGCTCCCGTCCTCCTCCTACAGCCTCGCCCCACCTCCGCTCCTCTCCGCCGTCGTCGCCCGGGGCGTCACAGGGCAAAGCCCTTGTGGCGCGGCGGCGGCGGCGGTTTTCTCCTCGGATCATGATCTGGTTGGAAGGCGGCGCTCCTTTCCGGCCCGATCGGCGGCGGCGGCATAGATCGGCGGCGACATGGAAGTGGTGCGGCGGCGGCGGGGGAGGACGGCACCGGCAACGGCGGATCTGGCCTTGACTCAGTCGGGCTAATTCGTTGTGCTACCGATCTCAATCGCCGTCAGCGGTGCACTGCTCCTGGACCTGATCTGCATCACGAGGATGTCTGGGGCGCCGACCCTAGGCTTGTTGGTGGTGGCCTTCTTCTTCGTCGGAGTTGGTCGGCCGGCTGGCTGTGCTCGCATGGTCATGGCGGCGGTGGTCGCAGTGACCGGCGGCTTGGCCGGTCGGCGGCGGCGGAACTTGGCCGGTGGCAGCGGCAATGTTCTGTCTGGATCCCGGGGCGGCGGCCCTGGAGGGTGGTGGCCGGTGAAGCTAGGGCTTCTCGCGGCGGCATGGCGTGGTGCAGTCCCTGTCCAAGGCGGATCTGTGACGGCGATCTGCTATGGATTGGTTCGGATCAGAGATGGTGACGAGCGCGCGGGATCCTTCTCGGCGGCTCTCGCGGCTTGGCGAGGCGGGGTGGGAGCCCTCTTCCTAGGCTCCAGTGGTGGCACACTCAAGCAGTGGCCGTTGCGCCAGGGATCCCACGGTGGCACTGTTGCTGCGGTTGGTCGCCGGATCTAGGCGGCTGGATCTGGGGCTTTGAAGGCGGTCGAGACGGTGCACAGGTTGTTTGGGTGGATTTCTTGGAACGGATCCGGGTAAAAACCTGGTCTTCGATCGATGGGCGGGCCGGTGATGACGATGCCCTTATCATCGTTTCCTTCATGAAGGCATCATCGAGGTGAAGCTCCCAACTCCACTCAATACCTCCGGAGGAAACCCTAGATCAGCTGATCGGATGTTGGCGGCAATCATGTGTCGTAACCCCCTTGGGGGTGGCATTCTTGGAGGTGCACTCGGCTTCGCGGGACCAGCGGACGGCTTCTCTGGTGGAGCGGTGCTTCATCCATACATTGATGACGACGGATCTTGACGGCGTGGCACAGTGCAGATTCGGAGTTCGATGTGGGAGGATGGACTCGCGCAGGAGGACGACGCTGTCTGGCGTCATGGTGGCGTCGATGGCAGAGAGACCTGGCACGGTAGATGCAACAGTACAACTCTGAAGATGGAGTCGTGGCAGGTGGCTGCGGCGGCCTCATACCCGGCATGCGTCCTGGTTGAGGAGTGCGCCGGGCTGGTAGGTGCCCCATACCAGGTAGGCGTCCTGGTTGTGACCTCAGGTCTTAGATGTTTAGGTTTGGCTGCGATGTCTGTTTGGTATTAGGCCCAGGCTATCAACGCTCCTTCATCAATTGGATAGGTGTAGCGACGGTTGTTGCTTAGACGGTGGCTGTAGTCTTGCTGTTGTATGACTTTATAAGGTCTTTGTGAGAATAATTAATAAAGTGGCCGCATGCATCGCCCAGATGCAGAGGCCGGGGGTCATCCTCCTTTTCTAAAAAAAAACAAGTTGCTATCTATCCACTGGTGAAAGGCATAAACATGCTTCTCTTTTATTTTGAATTGCAACAACTTGAGGTCTTGCTTGAGGTAATATCTCCAGGCCTGAAGATATTTTTGGAGATGTTTCATACTTTTGGAGGGGAAAGATACTTCTTTCCTTCTTTGAAGTTTTTTCTCTTTGGCTGATCTGCCTGTTTCTTGTAGCCATGTTGATTTATGGATCTGCACGTCTGTCTAACGTTTGACGTTGTTTGGTTATCAGGTGATTGGGGCGGTTATTGGAGTGATGCTCATGCGATTCACATTCCCTAAAGTAGGTAAAGGAGCTGCGTTAAGCGTCGGTGTTCATCATGGGGCTTTAACTGAAGGACTGGCAACCTTAATGGTTGTTATGGTGTCATTGACACTTAAAAAGAAAGAGCAAGGGTTCTTTGTGAAGACATGGATTGCCAGCATTTGGAAAATGACGATTCATATCCTTAGCTCAGATATGACTGGAGGAATTATGAACCCTGCATCTGTAAGTGTTATCTACACCTAATGTCATGAGACTGCTGTAGAAATCAACCTCTTGAACTTGAACTACAACACATGTGCGTAACTTCGATACAAATCTAATACAAATCATCAAAGTAGTATGCATACAGATGTATGGCAGCACTAATTACGTTCTGGTTGCCAGTGCATTCCTTAATATTCTGTTCCTTTGCAGTATGTTATGATCAGTTGACATGTGAAATGTTCACATCATCCACTTCTCAACTACTCCCTCTGTAAACTAATATAAGAGTGTTTAGATCACTAAAATAGTGATCTAAACGCTCTTATATTAGTTTACGGAGGGAGTACTTTCCAAGTGTACCATGGTGATATCAAACTCTGGACATAAAATCAAACAGTTTTTAAGTTGCCTAAACGGCTTTACATGCATGCATTTTCTTGTCGTCTCAAAGATGTTGCATTGATGCTATCGAATACTTCAAAAGGTCATGGTATATCACACCAACTAACAGTTTGACAGATGTTCACTGCTAGCAAGTAGCTATCAAACTTAGTGATAAACCATGAACGTGTTTTTATTCACAGTAGAGTAACACCTGACATGCATTTCTAGCTTGCTACATCTAATTCTTGAGATTGAACTTCAGTTATCTAATGATTCACCTGTGTTATACTCTTCAGGCTTTTGCTTGGGCCTATGCTCGTGGAGATCACACATCATTTGACCACCTATTGGTATATTGGCTTGCACCTCTCCAAGCAACCCTTGTAGCAGTATGGGTGGTTACCTTCTTAACTAAACCCAAGAAGACCAAGGAGCAAGAAGCGGATAAAAACAAGAACAAGAAGGAATAGACTTCAGGAAGTGAGGCCAGCTCGCTTTGTTGGGGAGTGGATGTACATACAGTACCATCGCGTGGGTTGAAGTCCTCATGGACATGAATTTAGGTTCTATTTGGCTTTCCTTCAAGTGTTCCTTCAAAGAAACTAGAAGGAATACTGTTATTGTGGGAGTGGTGTCCACCATTTTTTCTGGAGCAAGAACTCCAGATAATATTATCACTAATTATTCCGAAATGTTTGTCTGTCAGCATGCCCTAATGTATACTTCTTGATATGTGCTAAAATGTTCCAGGCAGATTTTGGAAACAGTAGGCAGGAGATGATACAGCTCAAGTGCGATCAAGACTGTTGAACTCGTCACCTGTCTCGCACTGACTGACAATTGACATTTTGTGATCCTGCAATTATCAGTGTGTCCCTCAAGTCCCATTCTCCATAGAGACTGGGAATGCAGTGTGGTCTAGGTTTTCCAGTTTCCAGAAAAGAATATCATTGCCAATATACGCAGACAAGTTAATATACGAGTTGTGAATAAACATGAATAATAAAACATTCAGCACATATGATGGAGCTAACAGCCTAACAATGACTGCTAGTTTCCTTTAAATTACATACATCGGTTGGTTATCAGCAGAAATTGCTAGTTTCCCTAAATTATAACTGATGGATGTTAGTATAGAAAATCTGGTTGGGCCAGTGATGATGTTGACAAACAACACTGACTACCTTCTGTATTATTGTCACTGCAGTTCAGCCATGCTGCTATCAGACAATTACTAACCTGAAAGTTCGACCATCTTCTCCTTTTTCAGGCTAATAATTATTAAGTGCCCACACACATATCCAATTCTGGAAGATTCGTTCTAGTTATTTGCATGCTTTATCCCGTATATTATATAGAGTACTTACTAATTTATGCAGTAGTACTTCTATTCTATACCATCCAGTTGGTTCATTCGGGTTGAATAATCCATATCCATATGTATTTGTACAACGGTTTTTCTATATACGTATACTGCTCGACTAAAAATATTGTAGACGTATGATTTTCTTCATACAGGGGTCAGAAAGAAAGAAATAGCTCCTTTGTGTATTTGTACTTGGAACTTGGAGCTGCAGTTTAACGTCCTTCTCTAAATGAGGCGGGCTGCAAGGGAAGGTGCAATGGGCCCCTTTTTTGTGGTCCAGGTCCATGTGCCATGTTTTCTGTCTGTCCACAAGGAGGGCATGCGGCCCCTCAAAGGTGTTTAACGTCCTTCTCTGGTGGCCCAATGCAGACCCACTAGGCCCGTGCTATTAATTTGGTCTCTCATTGCTTTTCATTTATACCTCTTCTTTTCTGGTGTGAGATTACTATCAAGCAAGCGGTTCCAATAATAATACAACAAATAGAAACATAACTTGTACACGAATAGAAAAATCACCATGATCATTATCATTTTACAAACAAAAAAGGGCATGATTTGTTATCTTGCACATGCATCTACTTGCTATTGCCGCTGCATTTTTATCATCGACGCTATTGAGTCTCCGGCTCGTGGATCGGATCTGTTTATGCTGACGAATATGCTTTGGATGCGATCGGGACGTGTTGCTTGAAAGCTGGGGATGGTGAGGATGCAATTGTAAGATGTAGCAGAACTCATTTTGATCGAGATTTGTAGCATCATTCAAGTAAATACAGATTGAGATCGTCCTCAAATGATTACTCGCAAGCGGGGAAAAGGAATCCTCAAATGATCGAGGAAGAAATGGAACGTTGGATTGTGTTAAAAATGCTCGCACACGTTTGCCCGATCACTGAAACCTCCAATTCACGGCTCGTATATCATGGTCCTGACCGGAAATAAAAGCTGGAGTACGATGTTCTTTTTTAGAGAGAGAAGGCTGCGCAGCACGCTAGTGCGCGTCAGTTGTCAGGACGTCCAGTCCAGTCCATGAATGTCCCGGGCTGGCAATCACAGGACATACTCCTACTGTACTCCTTGGTGATAATCTATTTTAAGGTAAAATGGTGTGACAAGTCTGTGATGAGCCGGGAATCTCGACTTCTTCCGGCCCTCCATGTTGCATGTGCAACTAACTGCAGATGGGCCCTCCATGTTGTTCGTCTGATGATGCAAAATCAAACGGCTGACTGTATGTATACGCTACACCCCAAAGCTTAAAACGGTGCTGCTCGCAGGCATTCGGAGACTTGTCCATCGCCCAGCTACTCGACAAGGACGCAAGTCGATCGTATTCGTAGGGTATGCTCTGCCTATGTGAAAGCGGACAAAACTCAAATGGGAATTCTACTCCGGCTCTTCATGTACGGACCCTCGGTCCATGGTAGTAGTGGCACAGCGACAGACAGCTCACCCGAGATGGCGTCTCCGTCGGCCGCGCATACAACTACAAGGCGTCTGCTCGGCCGTGTCGCGGTGCGTCGGCCACAGCACGCAAAGTTTTCACCGCAGCCGCGCGCAATGAAGTGCGTTTACCCTAAATTATGCCATGGAGTCTCCAGATGGTGGTTCAGCTCTATGTGTGAGATTTCAGCATTATTTTCAGTGAACTTACTAGCAAGTTTGTGCAGTATATTGCATCCTTGGCACAAGTGAAGTGAACACATGCATGCACTGACCAATGTCGAACCAGCTCCATGTGTGATGGGGAGCCACTCATCCAGAGTACGGCGTGGAGTTAATCGCCAAACAAGTTGCCTGCTCCTGATTTGTCATGGGGAGCCAATAATCTAGATGCGCGGAGTGAAGCCAAGGACTTGATGAAGTGGAGTGGCCCAAATTTAGGCTAAAAATGAATCAAAACGGACAATAAAATGGATATCGTGACTTTGGTCCGCCCGGACAGAAACAAACAGATGTGGGCGGACGGAATGCGTCGGATCCTTGGGTTACAATGCTCGCGCATGTTTACCTGATCACTGAAGCGGTACCTACGTCACGCAAATCAGTGGAAAATAGAGCTATGTACTGTACAAAAGAGAGAGAAAAGGCTGACAATCTGATCTACTGCCTCCGTTTCAGTTTATAAGTCCTACGCGTATATCTAGATTATCAATTTTATCACCTTAATATAAACTATATAATATAAAAATTATACGGTTTGAAAATAGAGCATCTAAAGTTTATATTGGTATATTTTTTGTCATGGAGGCATGCGCACGCCCTGCAAACTGAGAGAGAGAGGTAGTAGTAGTAGTGGAGCGGCCGAACGCACACTCTCCATGGACTCCAGTCCAGCCACGCACACAACCGAACACGAGCCCCTACCTGGTTGGCCGCGTCGAGATAGCTATAGAGATAAGCACAACGGGCCTCGATAAGGCACCGGATGTGAATGCGAAGCGACAGGGCCCTCCACGACGCCGGATCCGTACGGATATCTGTGGCCGGTAGGTAGGAATATGATAGACGAGCGGGCGGGCGGGCGGGACCGAGATCCATCCATCGGGGCGCGGGCGGCGCCGGGGCCAGGTCCAGGTCCTTTTCAATGCTGGCTCGTGTGGTGACCCTTTGTCCGTTCCGCGCAGCTGCCAGGAAGCTTCGTCCATCCCCGTCGCCCCTCCCCGCGACGTCTCCTTGGCTTGGTTGTTGCCCGGTTTACGTTTGCTGCGCTGCGTGGCCACCCAGCGGGCCGCACTGGACTGCCAGCTAATTAAAAGGGGCAGCGGTACGCGAAAGCAATCGCCATCCACCCGGTGTCTTCCGTCGTGTGTGTTCTACCTGTGGCCGCGGGCGCTATCTCATCTTTGCTATTTAGAGCATCTTCAGCCGTTGGCCTTCTAGGGAACGTCTAAAATCGCCGTCTGGAAATGAGCCGGCGTAAAAAAAATGGGTCTGGGCGAGTTGGTCCCCAGTAGCTGGCCTCAAGGCCGCCCCAGGCGCGGTTAAATAAAAAAAGTAAAGTAAATTTCGGCACAGTTCGGCGAAGTTCGGCTAAACACGACAAATTTCGGTCAACATGGACATATATTTAGACAAAGTTCGCCGATTTTCATTACATAGCAAATATATAATAAACTAATTAAAAAAAACTTGTTGAACATCTAGTAGTCGCCGTCGTCGCCATCATCCTCGTCGTCGGCCTTCTCCTCCTTGACGCGGGCCCCCCTGCTGGACCCGGCGTCGCCATGGCGGACTGGTGGCGGTGGCGGCGCGTCGTCGTCGTCGTCGCTGTCGTCGATGACTCCTCCTCCTTCGTCGCGGCCCCGGCGGCGCTCCGCGAAGCGCTACAGGGCGGCGCACTCACGCTCCATCGCCATCTTGAGGGAGTCCTGGCGTGCCCATTCAAGGGCCGTGTCGTCGTCGCGCTCGACCTCGCCGTGCTCCGTCTTCACGGCGGCGAGCCCCCGCTCTGCCTTCACCGGCGCGAGCCCCGGCTGCGTCGTTGGCTTGACGAAGCGCGGAGGAGGAGTCGATGAGGAGGCGCGCCGGCCGCCCTCGTTGATGACGACGCCGGCGCTGCGAGTGCGCCGGCCGAGCGGCGACTCCGCCGCGGGCTCGGCCTTGACGCCGAGCAGCGCTGGAGTGCCGGAGGAGTGCGAGGAAGAGCGCGAGGAGGAGGAGAAAGAGGAGGAGCCGAACCTCCTTGGTGCCCATGGCCCGTCGCGTCGGTGGTGCGCCTGGGCGGCCGCCCTCGCCAGGGGGTACACCAACGGCGGGTCGTTGCCGCCCTCGAGGTGCGTCAGCACGCCCTCGAATGTGCGGTCGGGGACGCCCCATCACAGGCGGCGCCCCTCGCTGCTCTTCATGCCGCCGACCACCGTGCGCCGTTGGTGGACGCCAGCCGCTGCTGCTGACAGTGCTCGAAGTACGCCGCCCAAGCCGCATGGTTGTCGACGGCGTACTGGGGGAGGGAGAGTTGGGCGGCGGTGAGGGAGACGCGCACGACGTCGACCTCCTCGGCGAAGTACCCGGGTTTGGCCACGACGTCGGGCAACGGGGGAATGGGCACTCCCCCGTTGCTGAGCTTCCAGCCCGTCGGCCCGGCGCGCATGTCCGGGGGCG